ACAAATAATTTAAAAGTTGTCTTCAGAATTTTTAGGTCCTACTCAAATTTCCAAAATGTGTCGAACAGAGCAACTTTTTTTCATATATTTGTATCCTCTGCCAAAAACTTTATATTCAAATATTGCAAACAAGTATATGCATTTCAACTATGTACTCCCCATGAAAGCAGCAGCATCAATTAACGATCCACACAATAATTGACCATACACAAAGAACGAGAGACATGCACAACTTGAGAAATTAATAATTCTTTGAAATTCAATTCTTATTCGATATCTGGTTAGAAATCAGGATCGATTATGCAGGACAGTCAGTCAGTCGGAGAGAGGAATGCAATCGGCCACATAAATACAATCAGGTATTTAAAATGCATGCATTATTCGTGCCGTGCATAATGGATGCCATGAAATTTTTACCTCCATTTTTACCTCCAACACAATGTATGAAATCTCCCGTAGAAAAACTCGACCACCTAAAAACCCGTACATTTTACTACAGACTTTTTGACAATTTTTCTACCCAAACTTTTCCATGTGATGTGAATGTGCAGGATATTTTTCTGTCGAAATGTTTTGGAGGAAGTGGATTCTGCAGAAAAAGCATTAATTTTTTGCCGCATATATTTCCATTCCTAAATTTTTCAAATTTCCGAATGATGTCGTAAATCAAATTTTCTCCCCACTGTAGAAACTCATATTATCCAAAATAATCTATAAGTTCGAAATTTCTACGTGTTTTCAGTGTGGGAAAATGTACTATCAAAACCCATGAGTGCACAGATTTACGCTCGGCACGCCTCCTAAAAGAGTCGCATGTGCATAATTTTGTGTATAGTTTTCGGCACAAATCTCTTCTGCATTCAATTTTCTGTAGCAAATATTGCAAAATTTTTGCTCAAAATCAAAATAAATTTCTGGAAAAAAGCCGTTCAAATTTTTAGTCTAGGAGGGAGTCACCTCCTTCAACACATCCATCCTGCACAGCCCTTACTTACACTACAGCCGCGTAACTATTTACAACTCAATTATTTATTTATTGGCGTATCGGATTCATTCTCTGATTGATTGGGAATCATTATGATAATAATTTCTTTAAATTTCAAAAGGCATCTTTTCATTTAGCTTGATCTCTCTCATGAATCAAACCCTTGTCCGCGCGACGACGACGACGACGAGACGACGGCGGAGGAGGAGGAGGAATTAATAAATTGGTTTCCTTTTTCTTAATGAGATCTCGCAGACGGCGAATATAATATCTCGTGTCGAAATTTTGCTCAATTTTCAAAACGCCAAAAGCCACACCGGTCTGATTGTGGGTAATGATAATGGCTGGTGATGGTTACAATAAATAGACGATGAATGAAAATATTATTTTGTGTTATCGATCAAATCATAGAAAAAGTGGTGATAAAGGTCTCTTTTTCTTATCGGAAGGAGGGGGCTGTACGTACAAAACGTGGAGTTGTACAATGTGCAAGGGGAAAAAATTAAAAATGACCCGTATTTATGGCTCTGCATTGTCTTTTTTAAAAAATTTGCAAATTTAGGGTGCTCAAAATTTGTAAAATATGATTTCACAGAGCTCAGTGTTACATTTCTTGCACTGCAAAATGAGAAACGCAAGAAATGTAAACTTTAAGAAAGTGCAAGAAATATGTGACATCCAGCCACTTGTCGGGAAGCAATTTCTTGCACATTTCATTTCTTGCAGGTCAAAATAGCTGCAAGAAACCACTTTCTCGCCTTTATTTCTTGCACCCGAAACACTGTAAATTCTGAGAAAAAAGCCCGAATTTATAGTCCCAAATATTTATTTCCACGTGGATATGCCGATGAGGTGACTAAATTTGTCCGTATTGTATGGACGGCCCCTGTTACGTAGTACGTATTATTATAATAAATAAGTTGACGACGTGGAAAGGAAGGGAATAACAAAATGAAACCATTAGTATTAAAAAATTATTGGGAAATGAGAAATTATTATTTCTTTTCATTTCATTTCACTCGTCGAAATTATTCCATTGATTGATTTTAATATGGAAAATTAATTGGATTGGAAATGCCTTCGTTTTGCTGGGGTTAAAAATTTAGGGAGAAAAATACCCAATTTAATTTATCAATTTGTACGGAAGTGACATTAATAAAACGGATTTTTTTTTACTTTAATCAAATGTTACAAAGGAAATCATCAAGAAAATATTTACTCTCGTTTTCCTTAAATATGTATCGAGTATCAAAAATTATCAAAATTCTGCAGTTTTCAATCATTTGAATTTAATCAAATATTGAATTTTTAAAAATCTATCAATTTATGAAAAATATATTTAATCTCGTTTTCGTTAACTAGGCCAAACCTCCTAAAAAATTATCAAAATTCTATCTTTTTCAATTATTTGAATTTAATCAACTTATAAAATTTTAAAAACTCAGTCAAATCATTAAAAATCGGAAAAAAATCAAAATTCACTTCCACATTCCTGCTATCCCTAATATTCTCAAAATTCCGCATTTTTGGCCATTTTGATTTACTCCCCCATTTAATTTCATGTTGACATTTACCTATTTACTTGTTATGGAAGAAAAACTGTGCAAAAACATATTTTGCAGGAGTTGCAAATATTTTGTAACGTTAGTCTCACAATGCATAATTGTAGTCAATGCATTTATTAAACGGCTGGATGAAATATTTACTCTCATTTTCCTTAATATCGAGGATCAAAACTTGTCAAAATGCTGTATTTTTTCAATTTTTATTTAAACACTGCTCCATTTAATGATAACATTTACTGATTTACTTGACGAGAAAGCGCACGTGCAAAAAATCACATGCATTACGTTGCCAATATTTTATACTGTTAGTCAATAATTTTGTCACTCTAATTCATTTAGTAAAAATTGCACCCTATTTCACCACAATTTTACATGAATTTTGTCACCTCAAGTGTATAATTTGATAATTTCAAATCATTACTTTTTCTATCCTCTAATTTTCCTCGTGCTCAAAATAAATAAAAAATAAGTCATATGATTTCATTCATTCGTGAAAAACAGCTTTCGTTCATGAATCAAGAACAATAATCTGCTTTAAAAAAGGAAAACTTGATGAAATCAAAACTTGAATTTAATGAGAGTAGTGTTTTAACTATTATTTATTGTCTCATCGTTCATCCACTACTTTGTTTCACTTTGTTGTCGTAAATAAATGCACAATTGCTTCTTCAACTTGATAAAATTAAATATTAAAAAACTGAATATTAATTCACGCACGTCTCATTTACAACAAATTCTTTAAGCGAATTTATAAAACTTTGTATTAAATAAGTAGTTTTCAAAATTATGGAGTAGTTTGGGAATAAAAATCGCATTTCAAATTTCCCAAAAATTAGGTTTACTTCGTAATTTTTCAAAAAACAAAATGATAAATTTATGAATTTACAAGTCCTTACATTAAAAGAAGAAATTACGAAGAACCTTACGAATAAAAATCGCATCAAATTTCCCAAAAATTATGTTTGCTATATAATTTTGCAAGGAATGATTAATTTATGAAATTACCGACCTTACATATTTCCATTAAAAAACATTAAAAGATTCCTGCTAAGTTTGTAAACCGTGCAAAAATCTTGAACAAGCGGTTAAAAAATTAGCATTTGGCAAGAAATTAGTACCGATTTCTTTAAATAGTGCAATTTGAAGTTTTATATTTTTATCAATTTCCATACAAAGGTTGACGTAATTTATATTTTGAAGCATCCTACATCAAATTCTTGTTGACAACAAAGTACCACATTTAAAATGATAATTTAATGCGTTACTCAAGTATTGCAAACCTTATGACTAACTTTGAGTGCAAGACTAACAATAGGTGTGAAAATTAGAATCCATGAATATGTATAAAATTCAAAATCTTTTCATGCATTAACGTCGCCAATGGCATTTTTAGGGTCAAAATTAGCCAAAAATCGGCCTCATCTCGTCCTGCACGACCCCCTCCGCACAAATGCAATGGAGTTCATAAAAGTGAGAATTGAATTGTTAATTGATTGAGTGAAATCGAAATGACAAAGTGCAGCAGTGAGTGATTGGATTGAATATTTCGCTCATTTGACTCTGCAAATTAGCTAATTTGGAGGTAAAAGTGACTTAACGACGTGTCAATATAATGGGTCAATATGTGTCATCTTCTATCCTTTCGTCACACACGGGTTTAGAAAATAGCACATATTTATTCATTATTTGCGTTCACCTCTTCAGTTAAAGTAATGAATTTGCAAATAAATAATAAAAATAAACCATGTGCAACAATGGGTTGCGAAATTGTGGCAAATAATAGACTCCGAGCATGAAAGGATGAGAATGTGTGGAGGATGTATTAATTAAGAAAAATCAACAATGAGCAAGAAAAGCGTGCAAAAAAGAGTCACTATTTTAATTAATATTTATTATTTTGTATGTATGTAAAAAGATATCATTGAGTAAATAAAACTAAAAAATTAATTAAACTAGAATACGATAACGTATGGAAAAATTCATGGAAACAGAGTTAATTTTTCAAGAAACTCGTATTTATAGCCAATTGAATTAAAGTTCTGACCAAGAAAATTAACAAAGAGAAAAAAAATTGTGCAATAAAGAATCTTCATTTCTATTAATATTTAGTAAATTTCGCAGTAGATTTTTTGCAGATTTTTTCTGATGATTTGCGACATTTTAATAAACTCCAGTAAACAGTAAACAGTAAAAAGGTGGCATTCAAAAATTTTTAGCAAAACTAAAATATGAAATGCATGGAAAAATGTATGGAAAATTTAGATTTGTCACTACAGTGACAAATCGAAAATTTTCATTCCACTAGATACAAAAATGTCCAATGCACACAAAATGCATTTTAATTAAGAAATAGTTATTAAATTTCGACCATAAAAGTTGTTAACTAAAATTTAAGCACAATCTATGAAAAGTTGCATGAAAAAATATTCCACGTTTTTATGAAGTATTTACAAATTTCTAATAAATATGTTTCGTATTTATTACTCGTCCTCCAAAATTCAAAAATGTTCAATGCACACACAAATTATCATTTAGATTATTATTTATTAGTTAGATATTGCAGTAAAAAGATGTCTAAAATTACAATACAATCTATGAAAGAAGAGCATGAAAAAATAGTAAATATTTTCATGGCATGTTTATCACTCGTTGTCCCAATTAAACTCGATTTCTGGATATTTCAACCCCGTATCGTTCAACACGGTCACGACCCACGCGTCCTTCGGTAACTTGCCAGATTTCAGCAGCTTCACGGCCGCCGCGACATTCGCGCCGGACGTGTAACCCACGTAAATGCCTTCTTTCTTGCCTAAAAGCTGCTTATATTCGACCGCCTCCTTGTCCGTAACGCCGAGGGTGAAGTCCATCGTGTCGAATTTAAAGAGCGGCTGGACCACGCCGTAGCCAGAACCTTGCAAAAGATGCAGCGGTCGCTCAACCGCGCACCCTTTGATGACTTGAGCGCCATCTGGTTCCACCGCGACGCAGACGACGTCAGGATTTTTCTCCTTTAAAAATCTCGACACTCCGGCAAAAGTTCCCGCCGTGCCGACGGTGGCTAACCAGGCGTCCACTTTGCCCCCAGTTTGGCGCCAGATTTCTTTTCCGGTAGAATCGTAATGGGCTTGAGAGTTGTTGGGGTTGTTGAACTGGTCGATATTGTAGGCTCCGGTTTTTTCTATGATGGCCATCGCTGTGTCCGTAGCGACTTGGACGTCGGCCAGGGTCACGTTGCCGGGTTGACCTTCGACCTATTTCAGAAGGGAAGGAATGGTTTTGTTAAATACTTGAAGAATATAGTCTTAATTTCTTGGGTGTACTCATGACAACCTTCCGCATAAAATTTAGCATAACTTGCGAAATTAAATTTCACAAATTTTTTGCTAGAAAAGTTTACAAATTCTGTTCCCAAATTTACCTAGCAACTACTACTGGACATATTTGTATGTCGCAAAATTATTTCGAAAACTCATCCTCTCCATAGAAATCATAGAAAATCCATGGAAACTACATCAAAATAGACTGAACTTATATAATTTTGCGAAATTACATCTTGCCCATCCCCTCAATTTTTTGCAAAATTTACTAAATTAAAACTTTTTAATTTTGCGAAACTCCCCAATTTTTTGTAAATTTTCTAAATTACTTTCACTCCTAAAAATAAGACGTTGTCATGCCTACGCCTAATTCATAACTCTCCCAACAAACCTACCTGATCCGTCAGAATGACATTCGCCCCCAATCCACGCATCATCTCGGCCCTCTGGGGAGAATTTCCCTTCGACATGGTGATAGTGAGTGGGTGGTCCAACACGGAGCAAACCATGGCCAATCCACACCCTTGGTTTCCACTCGTCACCTCGATCACTTTTCCATGCGGGGCGAGTTTTCCCGAGGCCAAGGCACCCTGCACCATGTGCAGCGAGGACCTGTCCTTAATCGAACCGCATGGATTGAGAAACTCGCATTTCGCCAAAATCCGACCAGGACCAGGCCACAAACGATCGAGGGCGAGAAGCGGAGTATTTCCGACGAGGTCGAGAACGCTGGAGGCGATTTCAGTCGGCATTTTTGGTGTTTATGAACTTTGCAGATTTTTAAAAGTTATTCTTTTTGGGAAGATTTGACTGTCTTATAAATTCTTAAAGATTTCGAAATGTCACTTTTTCTCAGAAATTTAATTTGTTCCTGCTTAACTGAATTTTCGGAAATTTACTCTGTCTCGGAGTCCAACGAGGGCACGAATGATGCTCAAATGATCACTTTGTACTAACTTTTATAACCAGGACTGTGCTATTAATTGAGCCTGATTACGTAACAAATCTGCATCGAGCACAACTGGACTGAACTCGTGGTTGCCTGCCTCGTATCAATTCATTCCATTTCTTCGCCAGATCAACTGACCAACCTTTAATTGTTACAAGTTTCAGTCCTAACCAGACAGTGAAAACGGACATGTGACAACTTGTCAATGCGGACAGGACGTCATCCCTTCTCGAACTAGTCGCCATTGTAATAAACCCTTCAATTAAGTTTCCTGATCTTAACTGGGTTCAAAATCAGCCCCAAAAAAATCCACGCCATCCTTTCTGCACAGCCCCCAAAGAAATATGGACTCAATCCAAGATGAATAATGAAACTGGTTTTTCTCTCATTTTATTTATTCAATCGAGTAAAAAGAGACCTATTGTCGTCTCGTGACCCACGTGAGTGACCCACGTGAGTGTCCAAGTTGGGTTTCTTGGTGATCATTGGAAATATTTTTTTTAAAGGGCCAAACATGCCACGTGGGTTGTCATGTGTAGCTATTTCTTTAGATAGTGACCCAAGATCCCGTCACTTCTTGTATGCATGGCCCACAAACTGGTCAAGTCATGTGAGATGAGAGAATAAAGTAGAAAAATTATGCAATTTTTTAAATAAATAAATAAATGGGACGAGCCGCGTGACATTGTGGGAGTGAAGAATGACTGGATTTAACTGATTTTAATTAATTGCATCCTTGTTAGATGAGCATGAAATTTTGCATGGCTGGACTGGACTGGAAAGATCTGCGGTAAAAATATACATCATCTAAATAATTCTTATCTCAAATTTTGACAAGGCTGCATTGTATCCCAATATTTAGAAAACCTTGACCATTTAAATCTTATCCATGAAAAGTGTAAATAAATAAATAAATAAGTCTTATCAATATTTAAGAAAGATAAGGCAGAGTCACACATACATTTGAGCAGATTGAACTTGAAATGTCACTTTTTGTACGAGAAAATTTCATTACATAACTTGTTTTGATCATTTCGTGCAATTTGTAATTATTTTTACATACAAATTACGCCCAAATAGATACATACATTTGTTGTTTGTGTATTTATTCAAATTCATGAAAGTAAAAATTCTGATCTAAGATTGATCTGTTTTTCAGATTTAGAAAATTATAGCCATTAATTATTATGTAAGCTCTGTGGGTGAAGGATGTGATCCATTTTGGCTAATTTGGACTATTTCCAGTCCATGAAAAATGACCTGTTATGCAATTTTGTTAGTCGATGAAATACTGAGGCAATTCACGCAGTCATTTGTAACTTTGTAAAATTCGTAAGTTTTGCAAAATAAACTTTTAGAAAATCAAGAGATGCTTTTGATCTGAGTAAAAAATTTATGAGCTAATTTTCCTTCGAAATATTTGTACAACTTTGTAAGTTTTAAGTCTCATTTTACAATGCTACCAGTTAATTTCCATTCAATAATTGCATGAAAACTGCTAACAAAAACTGCACACAATTCTAAAATGCTAATTCCAGCATCGAAAGGGATTACCTCACCTCATCCTTTCTGCATGACTTCCTCTCACTCACTTTCATTAGTCAGTCAAGGCATCCGACCAAGATATTTTAAATACCTGCATATTTAGGTATACCTGCACATTTAAATACCTAAGAACAAATATGGAAGCGTTTCATAAAATAATTTTGTAACCTTTATCTAATTCCTTCTTCATCAGAGAGGATATGCTAATTTTTGCCAATCTCACACTACTCCTGCTCCTGCTAATTTGAGCAAATTGCAAGCAGGCACACATCATGACACGTCCTCACAGTAAATACTTTACACACGTGAAATCTGTGCAGTTGCAGCGTCATAAAATCATAAGTGACTAAATTACACACGTCATTTTTGGAGTGAATCCTACCGATCATGAAATTATCTTCCTAAACTGAGCCAACCAAGTAAATAATCAAGGGGCCCGGCGCCAACCACATTGCCAATTTGTCCCCCAACAGTCCACCTACAAAATAAACCACAATTTTTGCACGACCTTTTGCAAAAAAATTCCTCGCTAACTCGTGGATATCCATCCATTCAATCAAGTGGGCAAAATATATGCAGATATTCACAATTATCCACCACTTTCTTTATAACGTCTGCTGCTGCTATTTTTTCAAATTTTCAACGCTTCAAATTTTACTGCAAATTTTGACTTTACGTAATAATAACAATAATTACGCATATTTACCTTATAATCCGCATCCTCTCCGTCACTTTCAATTTCGTTGGATCATTAAACACTAAAAAAGTTTCACTTCTACCAAGAGGACGAAAATTGGCGAGGATTGGAATTTTCATTGTTGGTGCATGTGGACAGAGTCAAGTGTGCATGTGCAATTTGCACATGTGCGAATTTATTTACTTATTCGGGATGAATAATTATATGCAAAAAGTACTAATAATTCGTTATTAATAAATGTCGAATTCTTGTGGTCATCGTCACCTAATAATTTTCAAATTTCTTCCGTGTTTCGAATAATTTTGACAAATTTTTCCATATTTGTTATTCTCTCGCAATTTTATGTAATAAGCTTTTGCAATTTCTTAGACACAATTTGACAAAATAAATGATTTCGTTTAAAATAATAAGCTCGCGGAAAATAAAAATTATGTTTTTAAGCCTCATTTAAATCTGTACAAACGTATGTGGCGGCAGTGTAAAATACGCTGTTATTTTTTCATTTAAATCTTTACATACGGTGCAAAATACATTGTTACTTTTTTGCACAGATTACATATTTATTTGTGAATGAATAATGAGCCGAAAGGAAGTGGCGAAGAGATTTAGTCAAAATAATTGAGCGATAATACAACTTATTAGTTTTTCTGGGTTGTAATTATGACACCAAATTGTGACATCAAGCTAAAAATCGGCGTAATTATTGGGCAGCTTATCAATAATTTGTCTTATGTTAAGTATAGAGATACAAAATTAAATATTTACACAGTCCTTGCTAACATTGTAAAATCCGTAAACTTTGAAACTTTTGTTATAAAACTTTACAAATATTGCTAAACAAAATTAGCTCCTAAATTTTTGCAAACTTGCTCAGATTAAGGGCGTCTTTTTATTTTGTAAAGTTTGTAAAATTATTTTACAAAATGCACGGTTTTTACAAAGATACAAATTGCTGCGTAAAGTGTTTGAGTGTTTTTTGGCTTTCAATGAATGTGATGTGTGATACGTTCTGGAGATATCCTGCTTACAGACGGACAGACAGACGGACGGACAAATCGATCACAATGAGCAGCTTCCGCCTCCTAATGATCACAGTCCTCTCTTTTAAATACTGTATATTTTTTCGACAATGAGAGTAAATCTGCGTAATGCATAATTCGATGAAAATGACACCCATTCCGCACAGCCCTTCTGCAATTGGAGGGAGAAAAGAAACCTATGCAGCTAATTTGAATAATCTTTAACAAATGAAAAAACGCCGAGAGCCAGAGTAAGTAAAATCTTGATTCATTATTCTTCTCGGTATTCCCTGAATATCAATCAAATATTAAATCCTCTCCTTATTCACTAATCTCATGAACGCTTGGGCACCCAGCCGCACACGCCGCGCAAGTTGTGGGGGCCAGTTGTCAAAGTTTGATTGAGCCGGTCTAAAAAATTCGTGCTGCCGATGAGTTGGCCTTAAATGCACTATAAATAGTCACTTTGTGCACAATTGAAATTTAAAGCAATCTTGATTCCCGGATCAATTTGTGATGAAATGGTAGAAATTACAAATATGTACTATTGCTTTCAGACTCTCCATCCACCCAAAAGAGCTTTGGATCAAGCAAGTCCGACGTCGAAAAACGGCGTCCAGGCACGACGTCCAAAAATTATGTTAGCCGAGAAGCCGAATTATCCTATTATTCAACACCAGTTTATTTTATTTTGGTGTAGAAGTCACTCAACTACCCAAATTCTTGCCACGAATTGAATAATTTGAACGCCAAAATAAAATAAACTGGTGTTGAATAATAGGATAATTCGGCTGACTCGGCTAATATAATTCTTGGACGTCGTGCCTGGACGCCTTTTTTCGACGTCGGACTTGCTTGACCCAAAGCTCTTTTGGGTGGATGGAGAGTCTGAAAGCAATAGTATATGTAAAAATTTCAAATTGATAATTTCTGGGCCAGCTTATCTACAACTCATTAACAGTTATAGGTCGTGAATTTGAGGGCAACTCCTTCAGAACTCATGGGCAACACTAGGGATCTGTGAAACTTTGACCCTCAATAACTCTTGAACGGGCAGAGCTACCGAGTTAATTTTATTTTTTAAGTAAACCCACCTTTTTAGGCGGAAAAGATAAATTACGGTGCGAATCCGTCGGATTACCAAAACACTACTAATTGTAAATATAAATTATCCCTTCGCCCCCAATCAGCCTCCGCGTCCCTTGCTGGTCAGCAGACGTGCAAACAAATAAATGCAGCACCCATCACGGCCGGCTTGACTGCACAATCATAAATAAATAAATACCAAACTTTCTCTGATCTTCAGTCAGATGACGTCAAATTGATGCGTGATGACTTAAAGGCGACTCCTTCCTTCCTTCGCGTGTCCATTCGATTGGATTCGATTCGAGATGAGCCCGATTCATGAAAATTAACACTTATTCTTCTCCTCAAATTTTGCATGTGTGCAAAAATTGACTGAGTTTTCAGTTTCCATTTTTCATAAGGTATGAAGATTAGCGAATATAGATTTGCATACGTAATAAATCAGATTAACCCAAGGGTCAAATATGGTCATTCAGTCAAAAATGGTCACATGGGAGGAAACTCTGCTTCAGTTTCGCAAAATTTTGCACCCATTTGTCGTCATGAGTGAAATTAAAAAATTTAACAGATCAGGACAACCAAAAGTGGGACAAAAACTGCAAAAAATTGGCGACACCCTTTCCTGCACATTTTCGAAATCAGCGTGAATTCAATTTCGTCCAGAAAATCTGAAAATTCTGTCCTTATCTCAAATCCTATCACATTTCACCCACAAAATCCACATCACA